GCCAAGAGATCAAGACCACCCTGGCTAACACGGTGAAACCCCGTCTCTACTAAAAACACAAAAATTAGCTGGGCGTGGTGGCACACGCTTGTAGTCCCAGCTACTCAGGAGGCTGAGGCAGGAGAATCGATTGAACCTGGGAGCCGGGGGTTGCAGTGAGCTGAGATCCCGCCAGTTGCACTCCAGCCTGGGCGACAGAGTGAGACTCCAGCTCAAAAAAAAAAAAAAAGAAAGCCCAGGTTTGTGGGGCACACTGGAAGAAAGATGTGGACGGGCTGGTGGGGGTCATAAGACTCATCTGGTCCCCTCATAGGACCACAATCACAATGAGTGCTTGGGAGCGCCCCCACAAGCCGATCTGATAGAAGGCTTCGTGTACCTAAATACGTCGCTTACTGGGAGGTGATCCCAGAAAACATCTGGAGGGGGTGAGGAAGTGAGACAGAACAAAGAAGGCAGCCAGCCACCTCCAGGGACAGCTAGTGTTCATTCCATCCCAACGGGGGGATCCTGGGAGCCACTGGAGAGCACAAGCCGAGGGGTCTGGGGTCTTCGTACACCAACTCCTGTCTGCCATTTAATACAGGGCTGCTGTCTACATATCTGTTGGAGGAGTGTTAATTCCCCATCACTTTAATACCTGCAGAGGTACCATGAGAAAGTCCCAGGCAAAGAGTGGGAGGGGCCGGCATCTGGAAAACGGGCGTGTGCTGTGAGCACAGAGGGTGAGGGACTGTGGGGGCCCCCACTGCACCTGCTATGAACACCTAGTGTGTTGCAGGCACTCGGTCCCCATCCACACGATTTCTCACTCAGTCTCCCCAACAACCTTGCAAGATAGGCATCACTATCTCCTCTCTTTTTATTCTGTTTTTTTAATTTTCTTTTTTTTTTCTCTCCTCTCTTTTTAAAACATCTTTATTGGCCAAGTATGGAGGCTCACACCTGTAATCCCAGCACTCTGGGAGGTCCAGGCTAGCAGATCACCCGAGGTCAGCAGTTAGAGACCAGCCTGGCCAACATGGTGAAACCCCATCTCTACTAAAAATACAAAAATTAACCAGGCGTGGTGGTGAGCATCTGTAATCCCAGTTATTCAGGAGGTTGAGGCAGAAGAAGCACTTGAATCTGGGAGGTGGAGGTTGCAGTGAGCCGAGATTGTGCCATTGCACTCCAGCCTGGGTGATGCAGCAAGACTGTCTCAAAAAAAATAAATAAATAAATAAAAGAGCTTTGTTGAGGTATGATTTTTGTACCACAAAATTCACTCATTTTAAGTGAGCCATTCAACTTGTCTTAGTCTGTTTGCAGAACTGGGCCACCATCACCACCATCTAATGTTAGAACATTGGCCTTTTACAATCAGTCCCCATTCTCCCACCATGGACACCTCCCACCAGCCGTTGGTACTCATTCATTTCCAATTTCACTATTTCCTGTCTCCATACTCTATCTATCCTGGACATTTTATATACATGGAGTCAAACTGTGTTAGTCCATTTTTGCAATGCTATAGAGGAATAGCTGCAACTGGGTTAAATCTCAAGAAAAGAGATTTAATTGGCTCACGGTTCTTCAGGCTGTAGAGGAAGCATGGTGCCGGATCTGCTTCTGGTGAGGGCCTCAGGAAGCTTCCAGTCATGGCAGAGGCAAAGCGGGAGGATGTGAGTCATATGGCGAGAACAGGAGTGAGAGAGGGAACACGGGGTGGGGGGTGGTTGATGGCACTCTTCAACAACCAGATCTCATGTGAACTCACTGAGCGAGAGCTCACTCATCACCAAGCGGATGGCACTAAGCCATTCATGAGGGACCCACCCTCACAAACTAAACACTTCCCAGCAGGCCCCACTTCCAACACTAGGGATTGCAATCCAACATGAGATTTGGAAGGGACAAACATCCAAACCATGCCACGTACAATATGGGGTCTTTTGTGTCTGGCTTCTTTCACCTGGCATAATGCTTTTGAAGTTCATCCATGTTGTAAATGTTTCCACACTTCATTCTTTTTTATTGCTAAGTAGCATTCCTTCATATGGATGTAACACATTATGTATATCCCTTCATCCGTTGATGGAAATTTGAATTATCCCCGCTCTCTGGCTATTATGAATAGCCAAAATACTATGGACATCCACATTCGAGTATTTGTGTGGACATCTGTTTTCATTTCCCTTAAGTAGACCTAGGAGTGGAATTGCTTGGTCATGTGGTAAACACTGTTTATTATTTTGAGAAAACACTTTTTCAAAGCCACTGCATCATTTGGCATTCCCACCACAATGGATGAAGGCTCCAATTCTTGACTTCCTCACCAACACTTGTTATTATCTGTCTTTCTAGTGTAGCCGCCCTGGTGGGGGTAAAGGGGTGTCTCACTATGGTTTTGATTGGCGTTTCCCTGAGGATGCAAAGCACTAAGCATGTGGAGCAGCTTTCTGTGGGAAAATCTTTGGAAATGACTATTCAAATCCTTTGTCCATTTTGTAATTGGATGATGCGTCTTTTTTACCATCTCCCTTTTACAGATGAGAAGACTCAGGCTCAGAGAGGCAGAGCAGCTTTCGGGGACCAAGCAGCCTGACTCCTGGGCACCGCCCTACCCCAGGCTGTCTCAAGATCCCCGTTTGATCTAATGCCCTGTGGGCAGGGTTAAATGCTGGGTGGGAGTCGAACTTTTGGTTCTTTGGAAACGGGGCTGGGAGATTCCACAAAGCTCCCACTTTCAGAGGCCTATGATTACCAGAGAAGTCCCAGAGAAAGGCACTTTGCTTCAGCCTGCTTGCCTCACCCAGATAAGCCTGTATCTCTTCCAGAACGAGGGACCAGGTCACAGCCCGGGCCCTTCCTGCCAGGTGCTCTGAGTTTGCAGACATGTGTCATGGACCACGTGGCTTCCTCAGCCTCCTGCCCACCTCCCTCCCAGCCCTCCACTTGGGAGCATGGCCTGCTTTCTCCCGACCTCAGGCCTTGGCTCTGCTTCCTAGCTACTATTCTCGTCTCTTCTCTGCAGTGCAGTGATTGCACTAATGGCCCTCTGGGTAACACCCCTGCTGGGCTGACCCAGCTCTCCTCTAGAAGTCATCGGTCAGTCCTCTCAATGGACATTGTCTTAGCATCTGCTTGGTGCAGGACATCAGGGACACAGAGAGAACAGGACAGTCTGTGACCCTGACAAACCCCCAACCTGGTGGAGGAGGCAGAACCATCAATGATTGAGAGCAGTGAAGTTTTATGGGAGCAATATTAGGTATGAAAGGTCTGTTGGAACACTGTGGGGGGTAGGAGGGGTAGGAGGCGGAAGTGAAACACACTTCGTGGACACCCTACTGTTGGAGGGGAGGGGCAGGAAAGGATGTTCCAGGCAGAGGAACAGCAAGAATCATGGCAGAGAGGTGCAAAATATGTTTAGGGAAATGCAGGTTACTCTGTTTTGGCGGGGTATAAAGGGAAGGAGTGGGGACCTGACAGGGCTGGGGTCACAGGGGGCCTTGAATTCCATGCAAAGGAGTTTGGAACAGGGGGCAGTGGATGAGGGATTGAAGCAGGGAAGGAGCTGATCAAATCTATAGTGCAGAAACATACAACTACGAGGATCCATTTCTATTTATTTATTTAATTTACTTTTTTAAAGACAGAATCTCACTCTGCCACCCAAGCTGGAGTGCAACAGCATGATTTTGGCTCACTGCAACCTCCATCTCCCGGGCTCAAGTGATTCTCCTGCCTCAGCCTCCTGAATAGCTGGGATTACAGGTGCCTGCCACCACACCTAGCTAATTTTTGTATTTTTAGTAGAGATAGGGTTTCACCATGTTGGCTAGGCTGGTCTCAAACTCCTGAACTCAAATGATCCACCCACCTCAGCCTCACAAACTGCTGGGAATACAGGCATGAGCCACCAAGCCCAGCACAGTTTATCTTTAAATTCAGCCCTCTGCTGCTCTCTGGGGCCTCTCGTGCTGCCAGGTAATTCCACTACATTTCCCAAACCATTCACACTCCCACTCTCTTAAATGACCATTTCACACCTTCCCTCTCCCATAGCTCTGACACCTCCTTCCTAACCTCCTTCTCAGCTAATGACCTTCCTTGCTACTTATAAAAAAGAGAAGCAACCAGAAGAGTCAGCCCACGCCCATCCATCGCCTCGTTCCCAACTTATGTGACTCTGTGCTCTGTGGTTCCTTCCGTTGCTCTAAGTGAACTCGCCCACTCTTGCCTGAGACCAACTCCTCCCCTTACGTATGGGACCCCTTCTTCTAGGAAGGACATCTATCAGTTGGCTCCTGTCTGCTGGGTCATTCTCCTCACCATACAAATCTCTACCTTAACTGATGTGGTTTGTCTGTGTCCCCATCCAAATCTCATCTTGAACTGTAGTTCCCATAATCCTCATATATCATGGGAGGGACCCGATGGGAGGCAATCAAATCATGGGGGCGGTTACCTCCATGCTGTTCTCATGAGAGTGAGTGAGTTCTCACGAGATCTGATGATTTTATAATGGGCTTTCCCCTCTTCACTCTGCACTTCTCTTTCCTGCTGTCATGTGAAGAAGGACATGTTTGCTTCCCCTTCCACCATGATTGTAAGTTTCCTGAGGCTTCCCTAGCCCTGCAGAACTGTCAGTCAATTAAACCTCTTTTCTTTATAAATTACCCAGTCTCAGATATTTCTTCATGGCAGCATCATAACAGACCAATACTCTTACCTTACGGTAATTTTTCAATCCTCACTTTTTTTTTTTTGACCCTACATGTCCCTCCAGATACTGGCTCATTTCTCTGGTCATTTTCACAATAAATTTTTACAAAGGAGTTGTGAATTTTTCTCCAGTCACATTCAAATTAAAGAACTGAACCAGTTAAAAGAGAATGAAACCGAACATGAAACCCTAAAACTCTCATGAAGATTTGAAAAAGAACTCAGTAAAATTTCTAGACACGAATAATACATTAATTGAAATGTAAAAATCAGGCTGTGGAGAACTGGAGATGGGGACAGCCCTGTTTAATCTTTTAATCAAGATTAAAAGAGCAAATAAAGTTTATGACACTGGAGAGGTGCTCTCCAGTGTGGTGGTAATATTGAGTAAATATTCAGTCCAACACCAGGGAGTGTCTTGGCCCATGGAAGGAACTGCAAACCTCCAGCTCAGTGCCAAAAGTGTGGGTGTGTTTGAAGCTTCTTATAATTCTGTCAAGCCTATCCAGATTATCAACAGCACCATAGAAATGGTGAAGCCAGGGAAATCTCTCAGTGGCAAAACAAATCCCTTTTGAGTTTCCTTTGCACATGAAGGGTAACAAAGTTCTGTATGAGACTTATCATGGCACGTTTGTCAACATTCAGTACACACTGTGCTGTGACTCGAGGCAATCTCTGTTGGCCAAGGACTTGACAAAGACCTGCGAATTTATCATCCACTCTGTTCCTCAGAAGGGGAAGTTGACTCCCAGTCCTGTGACCTTCACGAGTACACCTGAAACCTTACAGAACGTCAAAGAGAGAGCTTTGCTTCCTAAATTTCTCATTCGAGGACAACTCAACTCAACAAACTGTGTCATCATGCAGCCGCTAAGGGGAGAGCTGGTGGCGGAGAGCCCAGAGGCACCATCAGAAGCGTGGAGCTGCGGCTGATGCACGTGGAGACATGCAGGTGTGCAGAAGGCCAAGTCCGCGAGGCCACGGGGATTCAGAACATTCAGATCACCGACAGTGACGTGTGCAGGGGCCTCTCTGTCCTCATCTACATGGTCTTCCCCAAGTTGTTCACCTGCCCTACGCTGGAGACCACCCACTTCCACGTGGAATTTGAGGATAACATCGTGGTGCTTCTCCACCCTGACCACCTCATCACGGAGAACTTCCCGCTGAACCTCTGCATGATACAGCCCAGAGGAGGGAGGCACAGAAAACCAGAGTGGCCATCTGAAAATCCGGCTGGTTATTCAAATCCTAAGGGGAGCTACAACCAGTGGCATTTACTTGTTTTTGTGATTATTCGGTATCAAATATGCAACGGACCCTCAAATTAACTCTCCTTCCTCATTTCTTCGAGGCTTCCGACAGGCGCCTCTACTCAGACCTTTTCTTTGAAATTCAACACGTTTTCTTAATGCTATTTGCAAGAAAATTTCACAGAAAACACTGACTGTGGCTCCTGCCTTCCCTGTTCCTTTTTAGATACAGGAAACAATTGTGACCGCCATTTGAGCTTTTTTGGAAAGTGGGATCATGGGGACAAAAGGGAACCTCTCTCTGAGTTGCTAATAAATGTAGCGAGGGACTCCCCACAGCAAAGGGTCTGTGACCAGTTGACATCCAGGACAGCTGCAAGCATACTCCATGGTTAGGAAGCTTGTAGATAGTCTCCAAGGCAGAGCATAAAGGGCCAGTCACTGGAAATGGGTGACTTCCCTCCACCCCCACTCTGTTCTGTAGTTCTTTCTGTAACATTTTTCATTATAACTTTAAAACTTTTAAGCAACTGGAAAAGGTGTTTCTTGCTCTCAGGGGGAATTTGGCTGGTGCTGAAGTGTTTTGAAGTCTCAAGAACTGGCATAAAATATCCTGCTGCCATTTCCTTGAACACATACACATATAGAGAGGGTTTTCCCTCTGTCGCCCAGGCTAAGAGCAGTAGTAGAATCACAGCTTACTGCAGCCTTGACCTCCCTGGCTCAAGCAGTCCCTACCCTCAGCCTCCTAAGTAGCTGAGACTACAGGTACATGCCACCACATTTACCTAATTTTTAAGTTTTTTGTAGACAGGGTCTCCCTATGTTGCCCAGGCTGGTCTTGAACTCCGAGACTCAAGTGATCCTCCCATCTTGGCCTCCCAAAGTGCTGAGATGACAGGTGTGAGCCACTGCACCCAGCAGTTCCCAGAATGTATTCAAATGCAAAGTTACAGAAGGGGAAAACACGTATGTTTGCTCCTGTCATTACTGGGTAGATTCTGAACCGCAGGAGACCCATGTGCATGGCGGGTGAAGGCCCTTCTCCCCAAGGTGGTAGCAGGAAACGGTCCTTGACTTGATGAACTTGGTCTGCCTCTGAGCCACCCAAGGAAGCTGTGTTTTTCAGCCTGAAGCCAGCATTTCCTCAGTTTCCCTTTGTGGTTTGAAGGATATGATCTGTTAATACATTTCGTCCTTCAAATCCTGCCACTGTTTTGTTGGCCCACAATTAATAAGACCTCAAAGTAAGCCACGCTGCTTTGCACACACACAAGCCTTCCTTCATACTTTTCATTCTGAATGGGCTCGGGCAAAACAGGCTCAGGCCGAGGGCTTCCCAAGCTGTATCTCCACCGTCCTGAAACTGTTCAGTGACATGATGGCCAGGGTAAACAAGCCTGATTTAGGCGCCACTTTATCCAACAGCTTCACCCGTGAAATTAATAACACTTACCTGAGTCACTTGAAACTTGATTCAAGAAACAACAAAAAAAAATCCCCTCCCTCCAGATATCCATGTCCTAATCACTGCAACCTGTGAATGTTGCCTTATGCAGCAAAACACGGAGGGGATCTTCATAGATTTGATTAAGTTAAAGGTCATAAGATGGGGAGATTAGCTTGGGTCATCTGGGCAGAACTTAAAGGCAATCATTTGAGTCCTTGTAAGACAGAGATGTAGACTCAATAACACACAGAAGAGAGGTATGTATGAAGACTGAACAGAAAGAGATTTAAAATGCTGCCTTCCCTTAAAGATTGAAAGGGAGCTGCCATCAACTAAGAAATGTTGACAGTCACCAGAAGTTGGAAGAATCAAGGAATAAATTCACCCCTAGAGTCTCCAAAGAAAACATGGCCCTGTCAACATCTTGATTTCAATCCCATAATTTTGATCTAGTACTTCTGGCCTCCAGAACAATGAAAGAATACATTTCAGTTTTAAGCCACAAAGTTTGTGGAAATTTGTTACAGCAACCGATGGACACTAATATAATGGACAAGAAGCAATATTCAAAAGGATGATAGCTAGCTTAGAAATTTTCAGAATTTTTGAAAGACATGAATCGTCAGATTCAGCAGCATAGGAAATAAACAGCAGGATGAAAGTTTGAAGCCACATCTAAATATAATAAACCTGCAGGAGAGTGTGGTCAAAAATGACACATAGGCCAGGCACAATGGCTGTAATACCAGCACTTTTGGAGCCTGAGGCAGGAGGATTGCTTGAACACAGGAGTTAAAGACTAGCCTGGGAAATATAGGGAGACCCTCATCTCTACAAAATTTTTAAAAATTAGCCAGGCATGGTGGTACATGCTTGTGGTTCCAGCTACTTGGGAGGCTGATGCAGGAAGATTGCTTGAGCCTAGGAGGTTGAGGCTGCAGTGAGCCATGATCACACAGCTGCACTCCAGTCTCAGTGACAGAGTGAGACCTTTTCTCAAAAAAGAAAGAAAGACAGTCAGAGAGACAAACAATAGATTATCAACAAAGTAACAGGGACTACTTGGCATCTGACTTTTCAACAGTGGCAACTGTAGCCAGAAGACAGTGGAACAGTATTTTGAAAGGAGTAATAGAAAATAGCGGTCTAGAATTATGTACCCAGCAAAACTATCTCTCAAGAACAAAGACAAAATGTTCAAAAAAGCAATATTGAATGTGTTGGCCACCGACAAACTTTCATTAGGGGAATTTATTAGATACCCCTCAGGAAGCAGGAAAATGATCCCAGGTGTAAGGTCTAAAATGCGAGATAAAACAATGAGAGGAAAAAAGAGGCAAACATATAGGTAACTATTAGTAAATATTAACTATAAAAAAGTATCTGTAAAAATTAATTTATTATTCAGTGCAGCTCCAAATTAAATCCTAACAAGGTGTTCATGGCATATGACAATCTCTTTCTATAATTTATAAGCAAAGGGGCAAAAAGAGCCAAGACATTCCTGAAGCAGAATAAGAAGGAGTAGGGCTTAGTCTATCAGGTCTTAACACAGCATAAAGTGACAATTAAGATTTGCTTAAAGCACTAGCAATTGAGATAGTATGGAACTGGCTCAGGGATAGACACATAGACAGTGAATGAGGCTCGAGAGTCCAGAAGCAGAGTCAAGAATAAATGAAAAGATGATCCACAGAGGACACGTTTTGCAAAATAATGTAAAAGATGAACTATTCAATAAACAGAGCTTATGTAGTTACTTACCATATGGGAAAAAAATTGAAATTGTATCCTTCTCTACATAAAATCAATTCCAGGTGGATTAAATTCTTATGTGCGCAAGGCAAAATTTTTAGTAGAAAATAAAGGAAACTACTTCTGTGACCTCAGGAGAAAGAGGAATTTCTTTTAAAAGCCACGGAAAGCACAAATCACAAAGGAAAACATCAATAAATTCTATTACATTAAAAATAAGAACTTCAGCTGGGCGTGGTGGCTCTAGCCTGTAAGCACAGCACTTTGAGAGGCTGAGACAGGCAGATCATGAGATAAGGAGACTGAGACCAGCCTGGCTAACATGGTGAAACCCCATCTCTACTAAAAATACAAAAATTAGTCAGGTGTGGTGGTGCACACCTGTAGTCCCAGCTACTCGGGAGGCTGAGGCAGGAGAATCGCTTGAACCGGAGAGGCAGAAGTTGCAGTGAGCCAAGATCACACCACTGCATTCCAGCCTCAGTGACAAAGTGAGACTCTATCTCAAAAAAATTAAGAAAAATTTTAAAAAAGAAGAACTTCTGTTCATACACAGAAAAAGCACTATCTAGAAAATGAAAAGACAAGTAGTCACCGGTTGGGAAATGATACTTAGAATGCATATAATTTACCTAGGATTGGGATCCGAATATATAAAAGGCTCCAAAAGAATCAAAACAAGAAAAGTAACACAGTAGAAAAGGACTAAAAACATAATCAGGCAGGAAACAAGTAGAGGGGAGACAGGGAAACAAGTACTTCCAATAAACATGAAGAGATGCCCAGCCTCATTAGGAATTACAGAAATGCAAGTTTTAAAGCTCCATTTTATGCCAATTTACACCCACCAAGTTGGCAAAAATGTTAAAAGTCTGACAACCTCGAGTGTTGTAAGGGCTGTGTAACAATGCAAGCAATTATATATTGCTTGGGGGAGTGTAAATTCACGTAACCATTTTGGAAAACAACATGATATTGTCTGGTCAAGTTCAAATGCACATAGCTTATGTGCATTTCAATGCCCAGAATTTCTATTTCTGTTTACTTTTCTATTTCTGTGTAATTTCTATTTCTGTGTAATTTCTGTTTCTGTGTACCTACAGACTCTTACACATGTGTATTAAGAGATGTAATAGATATTGATGAGAGCAATCCTATGTCCATCAAGAGGAGAATGGATTCATAATCTGTGGTTTATAAATAGAGTACAGGGCTGGACACAGTGACTCATGCCTATAATCTCAGCACTTTAGAAGGCAGAGGTGGGAGGATTCTTTAAGGCCAGGAGTGTGAGACCAGCCTGAGCAACATAGCAAGATCTCATATCTATAAAATATTTCAAAAATTACTCAGGCATGGTGGCATGTACCTGTAGTCCTAGCTACTCAGGTGGCTGGGACAGGAAGATTGCTTGAACCCAGGAGTTTGCAGCTGCAGTGAGCTATGATCAACAGCACTGCACTCCAGCCTGGCTGACAGAGCAAGACTCTGTCTCTAAACAAGCAAACAAACAAAAATACAATAAACTACATTATGGCAGTGAAATTAATGAATTACAGCTATACTCAACAACGTGGATGAATGATGTGTAGCAAACACACACACACTGTAAGAAAACGCATATGGTGCAAATCCCCCAAATGAAAAACTGCATATGGTACATACGGAACCATTTCTCCAAAGTTCAAAAGCATGCAAAACTAGGCAATATACTGTTCAGGACTGCAACCATCTGTGAAGCATCAATAAAGAAAGGGGCAAAGAAATAATAAACACAAAATTCAGGGCAATCATTACCCCTGGATGGGAAGGAGAGGAGAGCTTGAGGAAGTCACAGGAGAATATTTCACAAACTTGTAATGCCAGCTCTCTGAAGTTGAATTGCAGGTAAATAGATTTATTATTATTATTATTATTATTTATAGCTCACGGGTATGATATATTCTACATGGATGGATATTCTTAATTTTGAAAAGGAAGTGATTGTGGTATGAGAAAACCAATAATGATATCATTATTTCATTGTGTGTGTTAATATACTTGTGTTTGCAGAAAAAGCAGGGACTAGTAGGGAGAAGTGATTGGGGGTCGCAGGGGTGATGGTTGCTTCTAAGGCATATTTGGGTCACATGGATGGTTGTTATTAGTATGCTGTGTGCACTGGACTGAAGAAGCAGAGTGAAGAAAGTTAGATGAAGACTTTGCATAAAGGAGGAGAATTGCGGACTCACTGGAGGAGCTGCACGTGTAGCCCTAGACTTACCCTTGGAGCCATGTGCAGACTC